ATCAGTTAAAGATATTTCTTAACACAAAAATAAACAGCATAAAATATATTTATTTCTTCAAAAATAAAAATAAAATAAAATTGTACATATGTTAAGTATTTTTAAACATAGTTGTTAAATAAGAAATATACAACATAAGATATAAGTATTTTTCTTCATTATAGTTAAATAAAATAATAAATAAAAGTTTTAATGAGAGCCTAATGCTTGTGCACCGCTCTATTTTCATATCACAAAACCAGAGGTGTAACTTATGACGATCCTGAGCATTCAGTTGTTAAACAATTTCGTTGTGGACTCGAAATATTTTACAATACAGGTAAGCCCCTCAGGGGGCTCACCTTCTTTAGGTGAGTACGGGTGTCACAATCCCGAGGTGCCCTAGTGATCTTTTCCTTTTCCCACGGGGTTTACTGTCTTTGGTAAACACGGGCTTCACGAACCCGGGGTACCCTAGTGATCCTTCTCTATTTTCGACCCTCTTTCTTGTCATTCAATTCATTCTTTCTTTCTCTTCCCGTCTAGACCACAGATATTAAAACAAATGTTTGGCGCAGTATAGCCGAAATCGGCTCTTGCGCCAATAAACCCCAAAATCACTCACTCACAATACAGGTAAGCCTCCTACAACGCGGTAGATACGTTCCTCAAAAAAGCCGCGTTATAAGAAATCGCGTTGTAGGAGATATGAACACCACGTAAAGCAAACCACAAGGGACGTGTAGATATTAACAGAAAAAAGTGAATTGGTAAATGCGCTAGTTTACCTGATTGATTTTTTTTCGATAATTCGAGCAGTCAGGGGTTGCCAGTGTTGAAAAAAATCTACAGTGATGCTACTTTATGTAATTTTTTTATTTGAAGCGGAATAGAATATGTAACAACAAACGCGTTGTAGGAAAATTTATAAACCGCGTTATGGAAAAAAATACCCAATAACTGAAACGCGTTGCACAAGTACCGCGTTAAAGGAGGCTTACCTGTAAAAGGAAAATTTTTTACTCGGATATGTAGAGCCAAAAGCGGAAAGCAGATTACATGCAATTTTTTTCTCTTCAAACAATTAAATCTCTCCAGCAATAATATTCAATAATTAACAAAATAGCTGCAAAAATTTATCTTTGGAGTTATCTTTCAGATTTCTTAGTAATTTCGTAAATGTTCCTAATTCTGATTATGTTTATCAAATAAGGTCTATTAAAATTTAATCAACTTCCATCCACTCAAATATTGTCAAGTATGTAGAGTAATGCAGAGTGCCACTAAGAGAATTGTACTGCGTGCCATTAGGTTGCCAGCCCCTTATTTAGCCCATTGTGGTCAGTGAATGTTTATATGAACATCTCACACGCTAAGGCAACAGGAGGGCTATTGGCAACAGACCTTGTAATTTTGATCCTATGTCAAGTGACGAAGACGACAACTGAGTTGGCGCCCCGTCTCTAAACTGCTACAAGATACCAATCGGAAGATTTTTAGTCTCGACGAATTTAACGTGCATCCAGCCTCTCTATACAGTGGTTCAATATCGGTTCTTAACAGTCTATATCAATTGTCCAAATAAACTTGAAAAAAATCATTTACACAAATCCCTTAAAATGATCTAAGAACAGTATGTGTATACACATTTTTTAATTAATATCAATTAATCTATATTAAATTGGGAATTGCTTTTTAAGTAATAGTAATATTAGTGTTCAAATTTTATAAAAATGCCTGGTTAAGTGTTTTTAATTTCTCTGATTTTATACAGACACAGAGATGCACAACGCATTGTAACTAAGAAGTTGGAGCGCACACGCTACATTTGGGATTAATTCTACATCGCGTATAAAATTCGAATGTGTAAGGAGAAAATGCTCTTTTAAAACTTTCCAAGCTCTTAATGTTCCGCTTTAAAATACAAAGATTGATGAGGTTTTCTGAACAAAAAAAACAACAAAAAACAAAAACAAAAACAAACTCCACCCACCCTAAATTTTTTATTTAGTTCTTAGGAGTGAAACCCTTTTTGTAAAAAAGAGAGAAAACAGATCCGAGCTTCAACACTGAAAAACCTGTTTTGAAAGGATAATTGATTGCCATAAAAACGTTTCAATTTATCCAGTAGATAAATTTAAGTTTAAAAAAACTAAAAAATACCCTTTTACAGTTAATCGAACTAAATTGTAATTTAATCTTTTAGTCGCCAAATCTGGAATTTGTCACCAAATCTGGAGTTAGTCACCAAATCTGAAATGAGTCACCAAATCTGGAATGAGTCACCAAATGTGGAATGAGTCACCAAATCTAGAAATGGGATCTGAAATGAGTCTCCAGATGCGGGATGGGATCTGAAAATGAGAAATCGTTAATCCTGATGATCCTGATCAGGGCAATGGAGCAAAATTATTAAATTATTATATTGTTATCGGTCCTGGACAAGTGAGCAAAATTTCGAATTAATCTGACCTTTTAAAGTGGGTAAAAATTGAGTTCAAAGATTCCTTTACATACAGGTGAAGCTTATAAAAGGGTGTTAAAAAAAGGGAATGTTTTATTTGTGAGTTTTGCAATATGAATTAGATCCTTTAATTCAAAAATACAAGACGTTTCAAATTATTAGTTAATCACTTCGTTATCAATAATTATTTAATTAGAAAGTAGGAAGGGGGATATACCCCTGTTCACCTAACGGCGCACCAATCTCCATTGTAAAAATTACAAAACTGTTTACGCTCATTACTCAAATTATATAAAACAAATTGTAATTCTGTTGTAAAGACGTAGTTGCTTTTTTTTATTAACTCTATATATATCTTATTTATAAATTTCTTACAGCATCACAAATTTTTTTTTTTACATATGTTACGAAATCAGTTATTACATCGAATAACTAGGTATTTCATGCAATAACTAGACGAGTTAGTTTAAGTACACAGGGTTGCCATAATTAAACTGCAAGTGTTCAAGGGGTGCTGGAAGGAAAACCACTGGGAATATTAAAGTGAAATTTGGTATCTACACCTTTCAGAACATGCGCAAGTAAAAAAAAACATAGAAAAAAATCGTTCTTTTCACCCGATAGATGGCGCTGTACCGTATTTCAACGCTCACCTGTGGCATATACAACTTCCAAAACTGATAGACAGAGCATAATGACATTCCAAGAGGCAAAAGCGGCATCAATTTGTTGCGCCGCTGTTGCTACTACGAGAATAGGGGTAGCAATTGTGCTACCTGCAATAGCTACCCGCAATTGCTACCCGGAGTCCCGTCAGGTTTGATGGGATGCCACCATCTTGTGCCTGGAATAATGCCCAATATTCTCCTGTTTCTTCAAATTTAGAAATCATATTTTTCAAGCCATTGACACACACTCATTGGATCTCTTCTTAATCGTTTTATACGCCGGTATTCTTTCAGAGTGGCTGAATAATTGCTACCATTCCGATAGAATATCTCCCACTAACAATACGCATTCCTTCTTATTCAGAGTCATGATTGACCATTACTCAATGTGGTCTTGTTTTTATACAGTTCGATGGACTTAAAATTCGCATACATGTCGTCGATAAGCATTGAAACACGGAACAACGCCATCTATCGGGTGAAAATGACGATTTTTTTTCTTTGCATATTTGACTTGCGCTTGTTCTGAAACATGTAGATACCAGATTTCACTGGAATATTCCCAGTAGGTTTTTCTCCAGGATCTCTTGAACACTTGCAGTTTAATTATGGCCACCCTTTATATAAAATCGCTCAATTCTATGATTTAACTAGGTAATCTATGGAATAATGATTGCTTGATTGTTAGAGTATGAAATAAGGCTCTCGAAAAGTTCTTTGAATTACATAGATGCCTTTTAGTCAGTTTTGAATCTTCTCATAGCTGCTTTGCAATTACGTGTGTGTGTATGCTTTATTCCGTTGCTCTTAGAAGGAAAATTTAGGCGGTTTACATTTATGTTAGCGTTTTTCATTTTAGATTATTGACCAATTTTTTTTTGCAACCTGTTTTCAAGCAATGACTTCAGCAGGAATGGGTGAGTGAGTGAGTGAATATTAACGTCACACTGTTCAGCTACACGAGGGCTTTTGGCGACGAACTGCGTAATTTTGAACCATGGTCAAGTAACGTGGACGACACCTGAGCTGGCACCCCCCTCTCCTAACTACCACACCACACCAACGGAAGGACGCTTGAGCTCTCGACAGATTTAACGCGTGCATCTCTCACTTACACGGCGGGTCTTCAGTGGTACTCGGATCGAACTCATGACACGCTAGCCATGATCCAATGCCTAGACCACTTGGCTACCGTGGCCACCCAGTACCACTGAAGACCCGCTGTGTAGGGAAGCGATGCACGTAAAATCTGTCGAGAGCTCAAACGTCCTCCCGTTGGTGTGGTAGTTTGGAGAGGGGTGCCAGTTCAGGTGTCGTTCACGTCACTTGACCACGGTTCAAAATTACCCGGTCCGTCGCCAAAAGCCCTCGTGTAGCTGAACAGTGCGGCATTAATATTCACTCACTCACTCAGTGGTACTGGGATCGAACTTATGACACGCTAGCCATGATCCGATACCTTGACCACTTGGCTACCGCGACTACTCTGCAGCAATGGGAGACCAACCTGTAAAAAAGAAAAATTAATTGCAAGAGAGATTTGAATCTTTATTAAATAAGCGTGTTGCAAAGTGAAACAGAACTGCACTTACACGGGAAAAATGATCAACTTTGATAGCAGATATAAAAAGTACATGTATTTTTAAATTCCTATTATTAATTCACACTCTCTCCCCCCTCTCTATATATTTATTTATATATCTTATTAAAATACATTTAAATTAAATATATTTAAGTTAAATACATTAAGTTAAAATACATTTTTTTAAACTTCTAGTGATCACTTGATGTTAATACAGTTTTTTTTTCCAAATGTTATTTAATTAATTAAAAGTAACAAACAAAAAAATTGTCCATCACCATATATAAAAAGGAAAATCGCTCGCTGTGTCCTGTAGCGCAATAGATAGCGCGTTGAATTTCTAATTCAACGGTCGTGGGTTCGAACCCACTTGGGATGGCCTAACTTCTGAGAATGTGATTTCTTTTTTTTACTATGCTATTTTATCAGAATAATTAAGTTTAATTAATGAAAAATAGTAACAAACAAAAAAAAAGTCTAACACCGTAGATAGAAAGGAAAATTTCAAGGAAAAACGCTTTCTATTTGGTCACTTAATAGTGTGATTCTACCATATGTATATACATATTTATATTAATTGTAGCTATTTAATAAAAAGTAGCAAAATAAAATTTTTCTCTGTTGATCCAAGTAGGAATTAACTTTAAAAAAAATTACATTACTTTCTAATAAATTATGTTCTATAACACCCTTTGCTTAAGAAAGAATCTGTGCGTGTAAATGGAAAGCGGCCAAATACCATGATACGCAGCCAACAGTGGAAAACCATTCTCGTTCATGTTTAGAAAACGATTACTACATTTGGCGACATTTTTTGATTTGGCAACGTTTAAGATCGAGTTTTGCGAAAATCCGTTTTCGGAGGGGGGGGGGGGGGTGTTGATGAAATCTCCCGTATTTGATTTGTTAGACCTATAGGCTTGAAATATAGCATGCAAGTTTCTTTTGTTGAGTTAAGATCTTCTAAGAAGGATTTTTGCGGAAATCTACTCTTAAGAGTGGTAACGGAGGTGGTTCATAAATTATTGATAAAACTATTGTGAGGTGTGTTTCAATTTGAACCATGGTCTAAGATCTAGGATGGGACCTAAACTAGTGCATCACTCTTTGAACAACCACATCACTCCACCAAAGTATTATAAAGTACAATTCCATTCAAAGAACAACAGATTTTAATAAAAAGTCATTCAGAAAGCGATCTAATGATACAAATTAGTATTGTAGATTGAAAAAATAATATTTTTATCTACTTGGGTACTTTTGATTCTCAGCAGAGCTACAGCAATAAAAAGCATAAGAAGAGTGTTTATAGTTTCTCTTTCTTCCTTTCACTTCTTTTTTACACGTTCAAAAGCAATCAAAAAACAAAAATTAATGGAAGCTAAATACGTAGTTATAATTTACAGGTAAAAATATTTAATGCTTTATGTCATGATAAATTATGTCATTTTTTTTATCCTTCCGAGTCAAATCCTTAAATAATTTAGTTTCTCGAGATATGGGTTTCATAGATTCATACCTTAAGCCTAAATTTCTTTTTCTTGCTAGAAAATTAAATCTCGGGACAAGAGAATTTCAAAAAGAATTATCCATTGTACGTATTCTTCTTAATGGAAATAAGTGAAGCAGAAAAATTTTAATTTTCATTCTAAATTTTCAATTGTGCAGCAATTTTTTATTTCGAAACTTCTATTTCAAAGTAAAAGAACTAAAAGATATCTCCCCCCCCCCCTATTCTAAGCCGTCAAAGTGCATTTTGAGTTCGCATTATTAGGCCTAGCTCTTTTCTATTTATTTATTCGTTATTTCTTTTCAATTGAAAGGACAGAATTCATAAAAAATTTAAATATGATCGAAATCTGGCAACACTCCAAAGTCGTCTGCTTTTTCGTTCCGAATTGAGATTTTTGAAGTGTAGATGAAGAGTAGAAAAGATAAAAAATGTCTCAAATAAAAGAAACTGTTTCAAGTGTAAGAAAAAGCCATATTATTTACTTTTATCATTTTCCCCCCGTCACTGACAGGGGAAGTATTTTGAAATAGTGATCTTATCATAGAAAAAAATATAAAATGCGAGATAATTTTCCAGTATGAAATATTCCTTATTGAGGATTTTGTGACGGGAATTTTAAGGAACTCATCATTATGAAATTCATAAAAAAATACCTAATTTCCAGTTTTAAATAAGGATGTATTAATACTGCAGTTTATGGAGCAGAAATTTCGAAAGTAAAAATCACATTAATAACATTTTTTATGACATAAATTGTGAGTTAAATTTTTATTTACTATGATTATAAGATGGTGTATTGCTAAAATATTTTTATTTATGATAGATTTATATTTTTATTTATTATAGATTTTATATTTTTATTTATTATAGATTTTATATTTTTATTTGTATAGGTTTTATATTTTTATTTATAGATTTTATATTTTTATTTCTTATAGATTTTATATTTTTATTGATTTTTACAGTCTTTATTATATTTGATATATATATATATACGTTCGTCAATGTTATGATTAATAATTCATTTAAACAGTGCCAAATTAGGCTATTTAACTATAAAACTGTTTCACTATTCTTTAAAGTTAGACTATTTTTTATGCTATTCACTTCGATAATAAATACTAACATAAAATACTCTTTTTTTCTGAATTTTTGTTTTAGTATGGAGAAATAAGCATTTAATTGTATCCAATGCTAAGAAATTTCTATAGTAAAATTTATTAGTTATTTTAATTGCTTTAAGGTATCCGACTACTTGCGACATTTTTTTAAAAAAAAAATGAAGATATGGGGATTTTTTTATGGTTATTAGATTTGTTCAGTACATTTTAAGAAAAATATACTAAAATTAAGATGATAAAAAGGAATTATTATTCTTAAAATGGGGAAAAATGAGTAAAAATTTATAAAAAATAATATAAATAGGGCTCATTTTGTACGAAAAGTTTATGAGCAAATTTTCAATTTTTCAATTCTGATATTTTACTATGTTATTCATTTTTTAAATAACCTTCATAGGATAAGAGATATATTATTCTTTACAAAAACTAGAGCACTTTTTTTTACCTCAGTTATTATACGAAATTTCTTAAAATAACAATGATTATATTAATAAAAGGGACTGTAAATTTTGTAATAAAACAGTGTTTGATAAATTTGAGGGTTAAAAAATTTCTACTATTATACAGAACATACACAAAAAATTTCAGTTAACTATTTTCAAAACTTTTTTAGCATTAGCTGTACCCGTTTGAACATTTAAAAAAGCACATTTTAAAGTATAACATCTTGTTTAAAGTAATGGTATCTGCTTTTACTAAAACACTCGTAGTTTTTGTTCTAGTGAACGAAAACTAATAAACTTGGCATTTTTATAAAGCTAATAAGATGACCTATAAAGTAAAATAAAAAAATTGTAAATTTTTTTCAAAATTTACAATTTTAGGGTAGTCGGATACTTCAAAATATACAGTTATTTGAAACTTTCTGTGGATATTTTTCCGTATTTTGTTCTCGAATAAACAACACTACAGAAATTAAAATATAAATTCGATAACTATCAACGATATACATCTAACTAACAATGCAGATTAGAAATTTTAAATCAGATAACTATTAAATAGTCGGCATAAAATCAACAATCTATTATAAGTAAGCCATACGTTATTAACATGCGTTTAAAGTGTAGAATTAGATATCATACACGTGGACGTGTACATAGCTATGTAAGCAACAGACCGTAATTGTCACACAATCCAGACTATTCGATTCATTCTCTAATGTACTTGTATGTTTGTATAATATCGATAATATTATGCTATAGTAACTGATTTGACCCTTTGAAATTTAAACACGAAGTTAAAAGCTTTTCACGAAGTTAATCTATTGCACAATAGGGTCTCCAAAACTCGACCTAATGTGAACTGAAGGGTGACCGAGTTTGTGAAAATTCTGGGTTATGGAGAATGGGATAAAAAAGAATAAGTACGAATGTGTTTCGTCAGAAGATATTGTATTGCACTTGCATGTATTGTTTGCTTGCGAGAATACAACAGAAAGTAAACTCCTCGAATCCACTTAAACAAAGGAAAAGCAAATACTTTATGAAGGGATAGAGCGCACTTACTACATGAAAATGAAAATTAATGAACACGTAGCATGCAGTCATTTATCTGATCAGACACACAACTCAGAAAAATACTTTACGAAGGCCTAAACTTGTCTACGATGAAAATTAAGTAGCCGACTGCAAAAACAGGCTTCTTTTTTCAATTCCTACTATTAGCTCACACTCTCTATATATTTATATATTTATCTTGTTCAAATTTTCAATAGTTAATAAAATACTTTCAATACATCCAATCAGGTTCAAATAATTTTTTTAAACTTGTAGTGGATGACAATTGATGTTAATACAATTTTTCAAATATTAATTCGTAAATTAAATTTTATTTTTTAATTTTAAATTTATTCTGTGTTATTTCCGTCGTAGTTACAATTAGCTGCAACAGATGGCGCCAGTACATTTTTCTAACAAAGTAGGAATTGACGTTATTTTTTTTTATATTACTTGTTTTAAAGTAATGCATAATCTCCTGTTATCTTCCGTAATACACGGTGCGTTTTGCTGCTTCATCACGAAGACGACGAAGGAACAGTAAGTCCATTACCGATGCACCTTGCTCAAAATATCGAAGGGTAGTTTGTATAGCCTTTTGTTTCTCCTTGTGTGATATTTTAGGAGTTTGTACGGCGTCCTCGATATCAACGTCTTCATTATTTTCCGGCATTTTTTTATTAACTGTGACAGCAGCAATAATTTCTGCATCGGACATAATGTCTTGCTCGGTTTTCGACCTGCAAGGGTGTGGCCGAGTTATACGGACTACCGGGTTGTTGAGTGACGAGTTTTCAGGACTCTACTGTATCACTAATGATATAGAGGAAATTCATGAGAAAAAAAAGCACAGAATGCCAAATCAAAGTAACTAAACATTCTTATAAAGAAAAAAAAAAAACTCGAATAAATACTTAAAAACTATCTACCCTTATATATATATATATATATATGGGCTTTATCACAGTGTTTCTCAGTTCCTTAGGGAATGTGGTAACTCTACGAGGATCTTGCGAGCATATTGAAAAGTTGAAAACAAAAGATTATTTAAAAAAATATTTAATTATTTGCTGAAAGTAAACAAACAAAATAAATTTTTACATAATAAAAAATAAAGTACACATTTACACTGATATAATACACTAATAGATGTATTAGTACTGCTTAATGTATTTTATAATTATTTCAACAATACTTAGTTAAGAACAAGTTTAATATTTACCAGTGAGCTCATGGGTGAGTGAGTGA